GAGGCCTACACACTATCTCTCTGATGCACACCCAAGGGCACAGTAGGTTAAGGGCTGGGTAGCAGTCTCCTTCAGTAAAGATTTAGAACCTTAGAAACCCCTTGGGACAGTGCAAGTCTGCCCTCTAGGGTCGCTATGGCAGTGGGTTGGGTTTGGGTTTTATATGCACACCCATGTGTTCATGCACTCAGCTGCTAACCAGAGACAGTCCACCCAGAGAAAGGCCTGGCAATCTACTTCCGGAAAACCAGTCCCTGAGACCCTGTGGAGCACAGCGCTGCTTGGACACACGAGGTCACCGTGAGCCAACACGGGCTTGAGGACAACAAGCTTCTGCACCTCCCTGGAGCCACCCTGCCCCTGCTCCTACTGCCTGGGCCCCTGTCCGCCCTGGGCCTGCCCCACTGCCCAGATGCTTCCTCTCCCATGGCACATTCTGCTTTCCTGCCGAGTCCCAGAATTCATTGCAGTGGCCACACAGAAGTCACAGATGGTGCTCACAATTATGAGGGTGATTAGGGGAGTTCACAGGGGGGGATTGCTCAAGTTCTTTAGTCAGAATTGTTTCTTCTCCTCCGTGCTCATAGGCAGATCACTCTAGCCTTCAGCCCCTTGGCCTGGCCTCTGTCCCGTTTGGGCAGTGTTACAAAGCTCTTTTAGGGCTGCCAATAAATGCCCAAAGGGCATACCACTCCACTGTTAGTCTCAACATGAAGGCATTCTGCCCCAGCAATGTGGGTCAGCAAACTCAGCTCTTCCAATCAAGCGCCCAGAGGTGCCCCACTCCACACAACCAGCCTCCTGTCCCAAAGCACTGAGCTCTATTTTCTCTGTGGGCTATGATAGCTACCTCTCTGGCTCAGGCTCTGGTGCCAGGTACTGGTCCTCAGACACCCCTCTTGAGTCAAAGCTGTCTCCTGGATCACAGTGGCAGTAAGAATCTCTCCTTCCTGTTTCCAAGGTGGCTCGTTTTATAGGCAGTGGGAAACCACTCACAGTTAACTGCTGACGGTCATCACAGATGAGCCACATGATCCAACCGTTATCCTCCCCCATCTTCAGACCCAGACCCATCTGGGAAATGAAGGTCATTTGGTGGAGATCACCCAGGCTGTGGCTAGAAGAGTCGTAGTAACTAGACCACAGGACTGTGAGTCGCTGCCAAGGAGGACAGAAGCAGCAGGGCTCTCCACAGCAGGCTAGCTCCGAGTTAGAGCTCTGAGGCCGGGATAAGGACAGCCACCCTGGCCCTTTGCTGAGGAGCCTCGACTGAGCTTAGTGGCTGACAGGTAGCTTCCGTTCCTCCTCCCAGCAAGGCAGGCTTGCCATCCTTTCTCTACAGATGAGAAACCGGAAGTCGGGGAGCAGGGGGAGCAGCTGTGTGTGACAGAACCAGGCTGCAGACAGAGCCTAGGCTTGCTGCTCCGCACTGAGATGACCTAGGGCAGTGGTGCTCAGTCACAGGAGCAGGCCCTGAAGACCG